CAAAGAGTAAGTAGCTAAAAGAAACAAGAAGCTCCCTGGCTTCTGTAACATAAAATGTGTAATTATTCTGTGAATGTTTGAGAGTTGCCTATACAATAACATTGATTAAGAGGGTGATTTGTAATTCATACTTGATAAAATAAACTTTTGCTTTCTTCCTTTATCAGTCTAGTACAATAAAAAATCACTTATGAAAATAAGAGTCTAATTGCTTTACCTTTGTTTAAAAGAAAATGATAGACTGCATTCATACACTGATACACAATTCTTGTTAATCAATCAATTCATTCCCCAAATCAGTGTAAGACATGAATTGTACTGCTGATAAATTATGTCTTAAAAAAACATACAGAAAGTTGAAACCATTTCTATGTTCGACCATCAAGAGGTTTCATGTGGTTTCTGTGATAGCTGGTAAATAATTCCATTTAATAAATATAGGAAAATGCACATCACAGAAAATTGGCAATGACAAGGCTTGAGGCACCTAGTTCTATACTTGGAAATGCAGTTCCGCTGCGAGTGTAAACAGAGGTGTTGACGGAACTGGAGGGCAAAATCCACTCAGACCTGAATTCTTTTCCTTTAATTATTTCAAATTATTTTATGTTCCAAGGTGTATAAATTATTTTAAATTCTTTCTATGCACTATGAATACAACTCATATTTTTGCTTTTATTTCCATATTTTTCCTAAAGAGAATTTGAACAGATTATTTATACCACTGGGTTTGTATAAAGTTATACGCTAGAGTGTCATGAAAGAGAAAAGCCAATTGTGAAATTGTGTTTTTGCATGAATTCTTATTTCTTCAGTATCAGTATATCAATTGTAAAGATAATTACACCCAGATCTAACTTGAAAAATATCTTTTATTATTGTGGGCCTTGTGAAGGTGGAGAATTAAGATTTATTAGGTGTATATATATATATAGGTACACACCAATGCACATACATCCTTGAAGGCCAATTCCTGAGCTCATTAGTCCAACACCGTAATTAACAAACATTTATCAAATACTTTCTATGGAACAGTGTTCTTGGTGCTGCAGTATTAGCAGTGAATCAAGGTTATAAATGTTTATGTTCATGGTGTTTACATTTTACTGGGGAAAGCGGGTAATGTACAAATATAAAAAGCATACAGTAATATTTTAGTCAGTGATAAAGGCAATGATAAGAAAGCAATGTTTACAGACTGACAGGGGAAGTGGGTGCTCTGATCTTTACTATTTTATATCGCAAACTCAGGAAGTTGAGATTGATCTCTGAGGAGGTGGCATTGGAGCAGTGATCTAATGAAGTGTGGAGAGAGCCTGGTGCATGTTTGGTAGGAAGGTAGTCCTGGCAGGGAGAGCCATAAGGTTTTCAAGTGGGATCCTCCTGCCATGTTGTGCTTGAGGTTCAGAGAGAGGACAAGTGTGGTTAGAGCTGACGAATCGTCATAGATGAGATTGGAGAGGTGGCCAGTAGATAGACCATGAAAGTCTTTGAGGGTCATTTTAAGGATTTTGGATGTTATTTCAAATCTGATGGGAGACTACTGTAGAATCTTGAGCAGAGGAAGCCATGGAGAAAATAGCACTATATCCCAAATTTTTCTTATTATCATGGACTCAGAGATATTTTAATAGAAAATCCATTATGTTCTTCTCCAGCTAATCATGGTGATCATAATTACCATATTGAAGAAGTAAATGTCTGAAAGCTAAGTTCTGCTATAGTTTCTCTTACCTTATAAAAGAAAGCAATAATATTTAATAAAGTAAATTAATGCAATCATTGATAATAAAATCAACACACATTGGCTTTAAGATTTTTTAAGTAGGGATGGGACATAATTGTGGAAGCCATGAATAGCTTTGGAGATCTACTTTGCCTGACTAT